TGGTTGACCATTCCACACCTACAAATCCAAACTGTTCCAATGAGCATTTCCTTTGAGAGTCAAGTTGGAGCTTGAAAAGTTTCAGATTTTGGAGCATCTCAGATATTAGATTTTTAGATTTGGGATGTTCACTCAAGCTATATCATAAAACTTTATTAAAGGATAGAAGATCTCAATAAATGAAGTGATATACTAAACCAAAACTTTTTGATGAACTTTTAAACGTTTCTGGAGATATCAACTAGATTCTAAGCAAACAGGTTCTGGTCTCATGCTGACTCCTCCGAACCCATGGATAATAGTATTAAAAGTTTATATAACCAATTAGTTGTCTCACAGTATTTGAAAGTTTGAATAAAATTATATTATAATTATGTAAGTTAAGTTTGATCATTAATCTTTTTAAAGTCCCTTATTCTACAGTCTCCACTGGCAAGATCCTTCTGCCACATACTAAAGAATTCTTAAAGTCAAACACGAAATACACATTTATACTTCTATATATACACTTTTCACCAACTTCAAGAACATAAGTTTTCCATCATCTTTTAGGAATGGGGCTGGGCATGGTGGCTCATGCTTGTAATCTTAGCACTCTGGGAGGCCGAAGCGGGAGGATTGCTCAAGGTCAAGAGTTCAAAACCAGTCTGAGCAAGAGCGAGACCCTGTCTCTACCAACAAAATAGAAAGAAATTAATTGTCCAACTAAAAATATATAGAAAAAATTAGCTGGGCATGGTGGCGCATGCCTGTAGTCCCAGCTACTTGGGAGGTTGAGGCAGGAGGATCACCTGAGCCCAGGAGTTTGAGGTTGCTGTGAGCTAGGATGATGCCATGACACTCTAGCCTGGGCAACAGAGTGAGACTCTGTCTATAAATAAATAAATAAATGGAATAAAAAATTCTTTAAAAAGTCAACAAATAAACAAATAAACCAATAAAACATATTCGAGATTACTTACACTGTTTCTGAGCTATCTAACCCCCCCTACCCTCTTTACCACTTGAGTTATACCCATTACTTGGTCATGAACACATCTGTCTGAAGGGAGGCAAGCATAAGACAAAATAAAAGTCAAAAGATCAATTTTGCCAACTGTTAGTAGTTCTAGCAAAAAGAAGTAGGAAGAAAGAAGCGATTACTAACAAAACTGCAAGAGAGGAGTTGAAGAAATACATGAGAATTGTTTTATGTAAAAAAATCTTTGCTCTTTATAATAAGGATCAAACTGTTTAGATGTAGTTAATAACGTATTGTGCCAGACACTGGCGGCTGCCTACTGAACAGCCATTCTCCTCTTCTTTACCACTAAGAAAAGCTTGATTGTTTTTCAGGAATTGGGTGATTCAAGAGATGAAAGACCATACTTGATCAGTCTAGGCTAATGATGTAGTTCCATCCATCTTGCCAGTAGTTAATTTAGGAACAGATTTGTGATAGACAATGAATTGTGACCAAAGTCAGCTAAGGACCCTTCTAGAGGAGCTTTCCTCTCTCTTAAGAAAGAGCCAAGAAAAGGGGCATTTCCTCTTTCTGCCTTTGGCTACCTGGAGTTGCAGCAGCCATCTCCAAACCTGGAAAGCCAATTTATGAGAGCCAACATACTGAGGATGGTAGGGCTGAAGGATGAAATGACCTTCTCATTAAGCTAATAAATTACCTAACTCAGAAATGGCTCTATCTCCACACTATTTCTTAAATCAGAAAATAATTTCCTTTTAGCATTTAAGCCATTTTGAGTTTGCTTTTCCTGTTATTTGCAACAGAAAACATTCAAACTGATTCTGTGCCAAGTCCAGCACAGGGTGAAAGAGTACTCATTATTGAAACAGTTTATAATCATCCCCATGTACAACCTAAATGTATGTGGTTTATGCTTTTTAAAAAAGGAAAGTGTGAAGTTTCTAAAGTGTTTTCACTAATATAAGGGGACAAAGCAACATGCTATTTGGAGATCTGGCTAGAAAAGTGTTTTCTCTTTTGCTCAAGGGATGATACAGCCATTTTAACTGTCTGTTTTTGGTGTTGGTGGCCCTGTCACTTCTACCTTTCTCCAGCCCTAAAAAAGGGTTTAACAGCACTTTTCAGATAAACTCTGGCAAAGTCAACCTTGGTTGCTTTAAAAAGTCAATATGATTTACACATAAATGTTTTCTTTCAAAGAAAATAGGATTTTGAAATTGCCTTTCCTCTGAATTGTCCTAAATCCTCAATAAGGCCTGACAAAGAGTATGAGAGAATTCACGATATTTTTACAATTAATAAAAATGTGATTCCAAAGCTGAGCTTTGCATTTTGGTGGAATATAAATTAAGTAATATGTACAAATGCAGACTGAAACACTTCAGGGCACAGCTTATAAAAACCAACGCCCAGGTATATCAATCCATAAATTCAAAGTTTGCCGAAATTAATGATGATTTTTTTCTCTTGATTTATGAAAGTTACCCTGGGACCTATGATTCTGTCTAAAGCAAATGCAGAAATTATTAATAATGTAAGCAGCTCTCGGGCCCCTTCACCACAGCAGCAAAGCTCTTATCTAAAACCAGAACTGTTTCCTGTATGCTTTAATGGATTAGATCTGTTTAACTTACTTTATATAGTACTCAATCCAGGTTTATTGGCATATGGATACTTAATGAATATTTGATGATGGTGACTATGACTGCAAACAATATATCTTAGTGTCCACAAAAAATGATAAAGTACTCCAAGCTATTTTACCCTAGTGATAAAACCGTATAACAAAGTCATACCTTTTCATATCAGGGCATTGTTTTTGGAAAACCCCATATTAAAAAGGAAGATGCATGAATGAACATTTTACTATATGTGCTAAAAATTTATGTATTATCTACCTATGATACTTTACTTAATCTTAACCATAATTCTATGGACTACGTACTGGGATCCCATTTTCTTAAATCTAAGAAGCTACTGATTATATGGGGAGGGGGCAATATTTTATGTACAAATAAGAAAAAACTCAACCAATGAAATTATGATGCACCATTTTTAAGGTGCAACTTGATTTCAGGGATGTCGCATGTAAGAAAAAATACACTTCAAAACATACAAAATTGAAGAGAAAATTTGCACAGCCAGTGAGCAGCTATGGCAAAGACGAGTCAGCTGTTCACCATGGAGTATTGTGAGCCCCTTCCATAGTGTGGAGTTCCTGCTGAGAAACGGCTTCCCAGCCAGAAACTATACTTTCCACCTAAGTTCTGACCAATGGCAGGTGAGGATAACTGATATAGTTACTTTCAGGCTGAAGTAGTAAAGCAGCAGCAAGAACACTTTCTTTATCCTCTCTCTTATCCTATCTGTTGTTTATGGTGCTCAGGATGACCCTGGAAACCACCTGTCAAACATGGCAGAACCTTTTTTTTTCTTCCTTTTATTTCATCATATTATGGGGGTACAAATACTGTTAGGGTTACAAATATTGCCCCTGCCCCCCTTCCCTCCCCCTATGTGGCAGAGATTCAAGCATGTCCAATCCCCCCCGGGGTGTGTGTGTGTGTGTGTGCACCGCACACATTATGTAAGTACACACCCCTCTCCTCCTCCCCCCTCCCGCCTGCACACCACCCGATAAAAAGTTTTTTTCTTTTTTGTTTGTTTGGGTTTTTTTTACATTTTGGTTACATTGTATATCTTTGCCTCTCCCTAAGAAGGGTTAAAGTTATCTACGGCCACACTACCCTGAACGCGCCCGATCTCGTCAGCCTGGGATTCTTAATGACTGTGAGGAACAGAGGCCCAGCCCCAAACCATGGGCCAAACAGGAATACCACATTTGACTTTGACATAAGCAATAAACATGCTTTTATTGTGTTAGGCCACTGCCATCTGGGGACTTGTTTGTTACATCTAGAATTACTCCAATACAGTGGTAGGATTAGAATTTGAAGATCAAGTTCCAAAGCCTGGGTTCATTCTGGTACAGCATACAAATATAAAACTCCAAACTTAACCCCTTCCAAAATACATAAATAAAACAGTACTGACTGCTTCATTTATAAAAAGGTTTCACAACGTGGTCTGAACTAATGGGCAGAAATCAATAGATTTAAGATTGGTATATTTCAGGGAGACAGTGCAGAGGGGGACAATTAAAGTTGTGAGTTTGTGACAGCACATATGGGGGGGGGGAGAAAGAATGAGGAATGATTTCCAAAGTGGGAAAAAGTGACATACATATGCACTCTTTTTTCGTTGTGTTTTAGTTTACTGCAGTTTGTATACAGATAAAAAAAAGTTCCAGGCAGTTGTTATAACCCTGCCCTACTCTTTCAGTATCTTGAGATAAAGATTTCCCTGTCACCTAAAAGACTCTTAAGCAAAGGAAAAGGAGGAAAGAGCAGCTGCACAGGCAATGGATGGGAGGGAAAAAAGGGAGGTGACAGAAAAAATGAGAAGTCAAGAACACAGGTTCCAGATTCAAGACCAGAGACTGAACCATGATTCCAATACTCGCTAGATGAGAGTCCATGACTTTGGGCAATCAGTCATCTAGCCTGAGGCTCAAGTCTATCATCCATAAAATGGTGTGATTATAGAATCTACCTCCTGTTACAAGAATTAGATGAGAAAATGTATGCAAAATGCATAGTGAGCACACATGGAATGCTAGTTGTTATTATACTTGTCATTATTAATCATTAGCTTCCTTTCCCACCTAGTTGAAAATAACCAGGAGTGCCTTTAATGTAAGTCTTTTCTGCACAACAGAAAGTCCAATTCCTTGAAAGAAAATCTGCTTTCAGCTGTGAGACCAAATGAGGTTAAGAGCCTGAGGAAGTTTTGTTTCAAATTAAAAAAAATTTTTGCTAACATGCCTTGAGGGAACATGAGCAGAAAAAATATTAAAGTATGTTTGATATGATATTCGACATGAATTTCACTTTATTACTTACATAAAAATATCACTTTTTTCATTTTACAATCTTATAAAGAATAAAAAGAAAGGAAAATAGCACAAAAAACTTACCCTTTGTTTTTCATTTGTACCCTTTTTATTGGTCTCTTTTTTTTTACTTTCATCTTCATACACTAGAACAAAGTCAATTCTTCGCTGGCCATCATTAAAAAAGAGGGAGTCAGATTTTCCATTAAATTCTTCCTGTGTGGATTAGAAAAACAAACTGTAATATGACTTTTTTAAAAAAGGGCTGGTTTCTAAGTGTTTACTTTCTAGCTTTAATAGGTTCATTGATATGTTCACCATGTAAGAGAAATACATCCATTACTAGTTACTTGACCAAGCAGTCACAGTAACTATGACCTCTTGGTGAAAGGAAGTCTTTGAATTGAGCAGTTCCATATTATTCTATAAATTCATGGGAATGTATCAGTATTATGTATATAACACAATCATCCCAGAATTATTCTCATTTAAAACAGCAAAGGGGTGTCAAGTTTGAAAATGAATGCAGTAAACAGAACTGCCTATCCTCAGAATTAAAGTTTATTTAACAAGCAGAAAAATCTAAGACAAAGCACTATTGAGGGAAATGTCTTATCTTCTAACCTTTTCATCATTTTTCATGACTTCTCTTTGGACTTCACCACTCTATAGGAGGTATCATGTGATAACCTTAAACAAACAAATGCCAGAAGATATTTCCATATGCACAAAAACCACACTAGCTGTTGTTTGTCTCCAAATCTACAAACAAATGTCCATCAACCCTAGCAAACAAGAAAAAAAACAAACAAAACAACAACAACAACAAAAAAAACCTTTTAAAAACCAGCAACATAACAACTAATACCATAGAAATACAAAATATCATCTGTGAATACTATAAAAATCTATATGCACGACAAATTCCTAGAAACACACAACTTCCCAAGGCTCAATCAGAAGAAGCAGAACTCCTGAACAGACCAATTACAAGCAACAAAATTGAAGCAGCAATAAAAAAATCTTCCAACAAAAAATAGTCCTGGATGAGATGGTTTCGCAGCCAAATTTTATTAGACCTACAAAAAGAATGGGTACCCATTCTGCAGTAATTATTTTATAACACCAAGAAAGAAGGAATCCTCCCCAGCTCATTCTGTGAAGCCAGTATCACCTTGATACCAAAGCCAGGAAAGGATACAACAAGAAAAGAAAACTATAGACCAATATCTTTTATGAATATAGATGCAAAAATCCTCAATAAAATCCTAGCAAGCAAATTCCATAGTACATCAAAAAAATAATCCACCATGACCAAGTGGGTTTCATCTTTGGGATGCAAGGATGGTTCAGCATATGTAAATCCATAAATGTGATTCACCACATAAACAGAAGCAAAAACAAAGATCATACGATCATCTCAATAGATATAGGAAAAGCACTCAACAAAATTCAGCACCCTTTTATGATAAAAACTCAACAAAACAGGCATAAATGGATCATACCTCAAAATTATAAAAACCATATACAACAAACCGATAGCGAACATTATACTGAATAGGGAAAAGTTGAAAGCATTCCCACTCAGAACTGGAACAAGACAAGGATGCTCACTGTCACTACTTCTATTCAACAGAGTACTGGAAGTCCTAGCTGGAGCAATCAGGCAAGAGAAGGAAATTAAGGTTATCAAAATGAGGAAACAGCAGGTCAAACTATTGCTCTTTACTGATGATATGACCTTATATCTAGAAAACCCCAAAAATTCCACCAAGAGGCTTCTGGAATTGATAAATAAATTCAGGAAAGTCTCAGGTTACAAAATCAATGTACACAAATCAGTAGCATTCCTATATACCAACAACAGTCAAGCTGAGACTCAAATCAAAGACTAAATTTCATAATAGTTACAAAGAAAATAAAATACCTAAGAATATGTTTAACCAAGCTGGTAAAAGATCTCTATAACGAGGACTACAAATCACTGAGGAAGGAAATTGCAGATGATGTGAACAAATGGAAAGACATATTATGCTCATGAATTGGCAGAATCAACATTGTTGACGTCCATATTACCCAAAGTGATTTAAAGATGCAATGCAATCCCCATCAAAATAACAACATCATTTTTGTCAGATCTAGAAAAAATAATTCTATGCTTTGTTTGGAACCAGAAAAGAGTCTGAATAGCCAGAGCAACCTTAAGCAAAAGGAACAAATCTGGAGGCATCACTTTACCTGACTTTAAGCTATACTACAAGGCTATAGTAACCAAAACAGCATGGTATTACCACAAAAATACAGGTACACACCAACAGAAAAGAACAGAAAAGAACAGAGAACCCAGATATAAGACCATCCACATACTGCCATCTGATCTTTAACAAAGTGGACCACAATACACACTAGGGAGAAGAATCCCTACTCAATAAATGATGCTGGGAAAATTGGATAACCACATGTGGAAGATTGAAACAGGATTCATCTCTCTCACCACTCAAGAAATGAATTCATGATACATAACAGACTTAAATCTAAGACATGAAATCATAAGCATTCTAGCAGAAAATGTTGGAAAAAATATTCTAAATATCAACCTAGGCAAAGAATCTATGAAGAAGACCCCAGAGGCAATCACAGCAACAACAAAAACAAATGGGACTTGATTAATTTAGAAAGCTTCCGAACAGTCAGGGAAACAATCAACAGAACTGACAACTTATAGAATGGGAGAAAATATTCCCATGCTGTACATCTGATAAAGGGCTAATAACGAGAATCTACAAAGAGCTCAAGCAAATCAGCAAGAAAAAAAAAATCAAACAATTCCATTAAAAAGTAGGCAAAAGTCACAAATAAAAGCTTTTCAAAAGCAGATAAATGGCCAATAAACATATGAAAAAATGTTCAACATCACTAATTATCAGAGAAATGCAAATCAAAACACGATGAGATATCACCTAACCCCAGTGAGAATGGTTTTTATCAAAAAGACCCCAAACAATAGATGCTGGTGTAGATGCGGAGAGAACGGAACACTTACACACTGTTGGTAGGACTGCAAACTAGTGCAACCTCTATGGAAAATAGTATGGAAATTCCTCAAAGAACTAAAAGTAGACCTACCATTTGATCCAGCAATCCCACTACTAGGTATTTACTCAAAGGAAAAGAAGTCATTTTTATCAAAAAGACACCTGCACTGGAATGTTTATTGTAGCACAATTCACAATTGTGGAAGATGTGGAATCAACCCAAGTGCCCATCAATTGATGAGTGGATTGATACAATGTGGTGTGATACACACACACACACACACACACACACACACACACACACACACGCACCATGGAGTACTAATTAGCCATAAAAAATTAATTAATACCTTTTGCAACAATCCAGATGGAACTGGAGACTATCCTCCTAAGTGAAGTATCACAAGAATGGAAAAACAAACACCACATGCACTCACTGTTAAATTGGAACTAACCGATCAGAACTCATGTGCACAGATGGAAGTAAAACTCAATGGAAATCATGCAGGTGCGAGGGTGTAGGAGGGAATGGGTCTCTGGCCTGTTAGGGACTGGGCTGCTCCACTGCACCACACCCACCCCACCCCACCCCCATCCATGGAAAAACTGTCTTCCTAGGAAGGGGGTGGGTGCGCATAGCAGGAGGGTAAGCAGCGGGGAGGGAAGATTCGTCTGTATTTACAGCTGCTCCCCACTCCTGTTCTCCATTGATCCCATCATGGTCTGAGCTCCACCTCCTCCCACCACTGTTCATAGAAAAATTGTCTTCCATAAAACCAGTCCCTGGTGCCAAAAACGGCTGGGGACCACAGCAATGGAGGAATGGTGGCCAGAAGATATAATTAACTCCTATAACTGCAGTAAAAAAAGACAACCTAATTTTAAGAAATGGTAAAGACTCAACAGACACTTCAAAAAGGAATATATAGGAATGCCAGTACACTGCTGAGAAAAAATGGCTAACATGTTTTAAGCAAATCAGAAACAAGCAAATTGAATCCACAGTAAAATACATTAAACACACACACACATGAAAATGGCTAAAATTATTTTTCTGAAAAACTGATAACATGAATGTTAATAACAATTCTCATCTACTGCTTGTGAGTTTCCCAGGAATTTGAATCAATCAACATAACATCATATTAATAGATTAAAACGAAAATCAATTTCATCATCCCAAAAGATGCTGAAAAAATACTTGACAAAATTCAGAGCACACTTACAATAAACTCGGCAAATGATAACAATAAGAAAAGTTTCTCATCTTGAAAGTAGGCATGTATCAAAAACCTACATTAAACATAACACTTACTGATTAAAAACAGGATTCTTCACTCCTAATATTATATAAACAAGGCAAGGCAGCTTCTTGCTACTTCAACACCTTGCTGGAGGTTATAGCCAGTAGAATAAGGTAATAAAAAGAACTATGCATCATTTCAAAATATTATGCTAACTGAAAGAAGCCAGACATAAAAGAGGGTATTCTAGAAAATAAGAATATACATTAGAGAAAGTAGATCAATGGTTGCCTGGGTCTTAGAGATGAGGAAAGAGGGGAAAGATTGAATGGCATGGGGTATAATGGAACTTTTTATGTTATGGAGATGATCTGAATTTTGATTGTGGTAGTTGTCCACAGATGTATATGGACTTTTTATAAAACATCAAAAAGACATTCAAAGTAGGTACATTTTTGGATGTATCTCAATAAAGTTGATTGTGTAACATACAAAAAAAAAACAAAAAAAAAAACCCCACCCAGCAACAATGACAAAATAAATAAGCCTTTAATTTAGGCTCATTTAGGGCTTAAAGGCTTTATGGCTTAAAAACAAAGAAATAATAGCAGAACACAGGCCTAATGCAGTTTAAAACAATCCTTATTACCGTATGGATTTGGATAGAATTGATCTAATTTACACTGAGGAAAGATTTGGGTTTGTGTTCTCACATAGCTCGTTAATTTTGTTATTGTTGTTTAAGAATCAGATTGCTTTTTAAGTAATAATATTTTTAAAGTTTTCAATGTTTTTATTAAAAACTGAAGGACAGACTACATTGTGCAGTCATTTGGTGGAACCACTTATAAGTTAAGATCATTAAATGTGATTAAGTTTTCTCTGCATTCAACAATTAGCACAAAAATTACCTAATTTTACCGCCAGCACACCAACT